TTTTTTATCTAGATCTTCTTTATTTTTCCCTTTTTCAATTGAATAAGTTTTTGTCTATTTCAAAATAGTTTAAACATCATAATATGTGATGTTGGAAATCCACTTCCTGATGTTATCACACAGAAAGTGAAACTTGCTCAATTAAGTATAACAAGAAAGTGCAGGATTTCATAAGAACATTAAGAAGATATTAATCAGAAAATATTTCATGTACGATTTAAATAATATCAGAAAATAAAAGTTATTTTTAATTGTAAGACTTGGAAGAAAAACTCTGTAAGAAGAACAAAACTCACCAATAGTAAAGCTACAAAACATTGTCCCCAATTCTAAGGACAGCTCTTCGTAGTTCGAGTATGTTCTGAGGTCAACTTTCCTCATATATGGAGCACCATCCATACTCACCTTCACAAACAAACATCGCATGCCTGCTTTCCCTTCACCCTCTTCCTTGTTCTTCGCTGGGTTGATAGCCATAGTATTCTTCCGGTAGTTTTTAATAGGGGGCCATCCAACTACCTGGGCCCTGTTCCATTTGGTTAAGCAGAACGAAAGGGGTTAAACACAATCAAAACAGAAATAAAACTCTACAAACATAGCATTGTCCTGTTCAACTACAAATTCAATGACAACAACTAGCAGCATAGATCATCAAAACAAACATTAGAACAAGCCAATTTTTAAAAGGCAATTCATATATTATATAGAAAAAAAAAACATAAAAGGAAAATCAATTTCAGAGGTTCAACTACCAAACAGAATTCAGTCATTGTAGTCTAAATGAAATGATGTAATGGAGAGGTCACAAACCAAGAAGAAGAACAGACAACTGATCCACAAAAAAACCAATCCACCAAGTAAGAACAGCATAAAAACTCACGTATCTCAATCTTACTTAGCAGCATTGAGGATCGCGCGATCCACAGCATTATTCTCCTTCTCAACAGGATTCCCGACCGGACCAACATCCTCCGCCATCGGCCAGCAAAGCTTCTCTCTATCGGTTCGACTCCCACAAGACAGACCCAACAGAACAGCCCCATCTGTTGCAGCAGTAAACACGCTTTTAGCTCCAGCAACAAAACCCATTTGTATACCGAGACTAAGCCCAATGCTGTCCATCGGCCCCGGTGAATCCGATCCAGGAAGCCCAAGCCTGAGCTCCGTCTCCTTCAGATTCAGCCCGATGTCCTCTCCCTTCACATCTGCCACCCCTCCATCGACAGAAGAAGAGGGCAACGGCTTAACTGCTCCGCCATTCGGAGCGACCTCATGCACTCCCATGTAATAGTGCTCCAACAGCGGCTTCATCTAGCTTCCAGCGACCGGTACAACAAGTCCGGCTACGATTTCCGTCGCCTGAATTTCGTCGACACCTACGATGCGCTCTGCGTTCCCTTCACTCCGCGATTCAACCTGATTCTTATATATGGGGACAAGCACGGCCTAGGAGATGTTATAGCCACCTCTTCTTTTGAAAAGGACGCTGCGGTTAAATGAGAAGTAAGCGTGCAACTAAGAAAACAGGTGAGGTGTTTATAAAAAGTGACAGGTAGGATTATAGGAAATTAAATAAAAATGTGAAAAAGGAAGAAAGAGGAAATAAATGATAAATATATATTAATACAGCTGCTGGAGAGTGGGAGCAAAATAGCCGACAGAAGACTGAGAGAGCGCCCGGCAACACCAGATTGGGCTCCTATTTCTATTATTTTATTTTTATATTTAATATTTATTTTAAGTGGCAATTACAATATTACAAACATATCACTCAATTTTTATATTTATGCCTCCCAAATCTTTCATATCTGCATCAAGAATGTCACTATGAATCTCAAATAAATCAAATGGCCCATAGAGAAGATGAAGTGGCCGCTTGAGGGGTAGTTCGAGGGCTTGCCTTTACTTGCCCGACTTCTGCTGGCCAGGAGAAAAAAAAAAA